AGCGGTTCCTAACGGCCTGGCTTATTCTATAAAATGACTTAACTACTTTTAAACTAGTAACAGAAGCTCTGAAGCTCAATTTATGTATTATTATTCTCCTTGTCAGGGTAAATTTCTCAATCTAAGAAGAGTGAAGGCCATTTAGGTTTAAGGGGTGACTTCATCAGCCAGTGAAAACAAGAATTATACTGTGACACAGGCAATCACAGAATCACAGAATGTTAGGGATTGGAAGGGACCTCAAAAGATCATTTAGTCCAATCCCCCTGCCGGAGCAGGAACAATCCCGTAAGTCCACCCCTTATTTTTTACCAGAATAACAAAAGCAGGCACACATGTGCTAATCCTTGTATCAGTGATGAATTTGCTTGAAGGGAATGACAAAGCTAACAAGGCTACGTACTAGTCCCAGGCAAGTCCAAGCAGCTCACAAATGTTCAGTAGCTTTACTTCAAAACAGTTGTTCTCGGTGAAGACTTCCCAAAATGCTTTATCTCACCTGTTTGCTGATACCAATTTATTGGGATACTGAAGATTCTTAAATTAAGTCTGAAGGTGATGCATCCCTTGTCTAGCTCCTCTGAAGCCAGCTATTGCTCTGTCTAGATAAATAAAAGCAATATGAAGAAGGCACAGGAAGGGCAAACTGAAGGATTTGCCCTAGGATTGCAGTCGGGATGTCTCTAATACTTATCCCACTTCTACCTTTGGGGCATTGCAGGAACGTCTTAATCTCAGCTCCCTCTGTCAAAGAAGTGATTGCCCAAGATATCAAGTAAATAATATTATATATTAAAAAGAAATATAAGGTCTGACCATAAATTGCAGTTTTATCACTTCAAGAAATCATTGAGTCATCTTTTTCTATTTAAAGGGAAACCAAAGTTCTGCCTCATATTCACCTGACAAGGTAGATAACTTGTTAATTGTTTTTACTTGCTCTTTCAAGAAAAAAACCCCATATATTTAAGAAATAGCAAATGGGTGGAGAAACAAAGCCAGTGTGTCTGTCCATTCTCTACACCGTATACTTTTAGCTTATCAGGCCTTTTCTAGATGAGCTAAGCTAAAACAGAAGAGGAGGACAGTCACAACTCACCCCAGTTGCAGCCCCATCCTTCCTGTGGGGAGGAGTTAGATGTTGCTCTCTTCAGCATGGGTGACCTGCTGTATGAGTCTAGCGGAGATGAAAGAACTAAATTATACACTACAACTATTGGGGAAGGCCACTAATATCCTACAGTATTTATCTTTTGCCACAAAAATGGAAGTATTTTAATTGAAGTATTGAAACATTTGGTAATATCAGACATTAATTTAAATATAAGTGGAATACACAAGTGAATCAGTGATACAATTACTTGGCAATGGAAGAATATAAAGCTAGCCAAAATGTCTTTCACAAGCAGACAACGGAACATGCATTTTAGTATTTTATCCTTGTGGTTCTTAAAGTACTCCAAATGCAGGGGTTTGAAAGAACGGTGTATTTTTGCTTCATTCAAGTCCTTTTCCTATTCCTAATAATTCCTTCACTTTCTTTCAGAAGTGTCTTTTATATCTGCATAACAGAAAAGAGCAAAAATAATATAATCTTTCCAGTTTATGAAAAGGTTAAGATTTGTTTCATAATCTTGTCAAGTGAAAAACACACGGAGAATAATGCAGTTTAGATAGTGGCCAAAAATAATTAGCAAGAAAAATACTGAAATGCACAACTTGGAGTGTAATTTAGCCCAAGGTACACTGAAAGCTGTACACTGAAAGCTGAATGCACTAAAAAGTTTTCCTGAACATTCAAAATTTGGCACAGATATTGAAACGAGCATGAATAGGAGCTACAGTAAAATGCTCCCAAATTTTATGCTTAATTGCCTGCTTTCATTTCCACAGCCCAATGAACTTGCTTGGATAAGTTTAGATAAGCATTTGAAATGGACATCACATGTGAAAACCATCAAAACTTTTTTCGAGCAGTACTTTTCACTAACAGTTAGGATGAACTAAACTGCCACCTCAGCTCACCTTGCTGAAGTGACACGATATTCTACAAGAAGATCCGGCTTTGCTTTTTTCCTCCTGTTACTGAAGGTAACTCCTCCTCCTCAAAGGAGGCAGACTGGGGAAAAAACAGAGCTGAAGAGGCTGTCCCCCAGGAACAGGACAGAGCTTTTCATTGCTAGCCATTTAAACTCGGTTTAATGGTGAAGGTACCTCACCAGGACTGAACTTGCAGTTTGGGCCTGGACAGTAATTTTTCATCCTGCTGCACAGTCTGATCAAAACTTCTATGGAAATTAAAACGTTAATTCCCGAACTAGGATCTGAAAGTCATTGACAGCCCTTAAGGCTGTGATGGGCAGCAGCTGATCCATAGGAGATGACCATAAAAATACTTAGTAGGGTCATGAATAATTGTTAACTGATCATGTTTCTTCACCCAGTGAATGTGAGAACTAATGAATTAGGGTATATAGTTATGCAATACAAGAGTAGTTCAGCTAGGAAGGCACAAGATGAAAGTCTCAGTGGGCTGTGAGGCAAATTTTAATGTAGCTATTAATATCCTGATAACTGAAAAATAAGACAACTGCTACGCTTTATCCACAGATAAGTAACAGAAACCAATACCATTGCAGTTTCTTGCTCACTACAAAGAACAGTCTGAAATTTCAAACCCTCTCTTCAAACTTTTCTTCCTAGGTGGCAGCAGCCCATCTTTCTTCCTTCTCAACATAAACACCATTAAGTTTGCCCATAGGAAGCATTCTATTGCTGAGCATATTTTCACAGAATCACAGAACGTTAGGGATTGGAAGGGACCTCCAAAGATCATCTAGTCCAATCCCCCTGCCGGAGCAGAAACACCTAGATGAGGTTACACAGATTTTCAGTAGATTCTGTGTTACCACATCCAGGTATTCTTCAGGAGCCATGCCTCTGCTTCACAGATATAGATGCCTTCTCTGCACTTCACACTGGTAAGAACCCTGTGAAAGCAACTCACAGGTTTGTTGCTACTGGCCCACTTCCTTCTAAAAAGATCAAAATGTCTGTAAGAAATAAACTTGAATTTCTGATGGAGCAGGGAGACAAACTCCCTTTGAAGACTGCGTCTCTGGTAGAGCACCAAAATTTTTGTATTCCTAGAGCTACTAAAAAGGAATATACATAAACATTTTTCTCATTTTTTTTTCTTTATTTTTAGAAAAATCACAATGTTGATAGGAGGTTCTAATAAGTAATTTTGAGGCTTGCCAAAGCTGAAGAAGGATTCAAGAGTCTGGTTAGCTAAAAGCTGGTCGGAGCTTCCCCTGCCATTCTATCCTTAAGAAACACTGGCTTATTTCTGTTTTCTCTACACTTGGCACTGATATGAGATACCTGTTTATTCATGCAGATAAGCAGTACATTTCATTTCTTTGTATTTACATAGATCAAATGTTTATATAAAAATCAATTTTCCACCCTCAAACACACTTAAAGGTTTTAGCACTTTTATACTAAAAGCAGAAGTGGGGCAAAAAGAGGTTTACAAATTAATTCCGTAACAGAACACTAAAATCTATGTAAAGCTTTGTTGCAAGCTAAGAAACATGTACAAGAAATTCTTAAATGAATTATCCTTGGCATACATTCATATTTGAATGCACAGATATATTTACATGTTTAATATCCAAATTCATTATGACTTCTAAGCTGTTCCATGAAATGTCACCTTTCTGTAGAACTTGCCAGGTGGCTGAAGCACATTAATAAGACCCATATTGTAAAATTACATAAAAATTTGAAATTAGCATGAAACCCAACCGAACTGGTCAGACTATTACTTCTAGACACAACTAGTTATTATTCCAGACCTAGTCCTTTAAGTGTTATGAGTTGCAGTTTTCCATGTTTCCACAGATCCCCGAAACCTTCCTGCAGCTTCCAAGAGCCACAGCAAAGCTTGCAAGTGCTTTCAGTTGAGGATACAATCATAGACACTCATCCCAATGGCAATCCTTCACAAGTCCAAAAGCATTCTTCACATGTATGCTATTTGTACTGCTCAATGGGAGCTTGTGGAGTAAGGCTGGGTTGTTCTGGTCAGACTTACTATTATGTACTTTCAAATTGTTGTACTGTTTCTGTCTTTTAAGTGCTCAAGATAAGCCTTTCAAATTCAAAGTATTGTATTATTTTCTGTTACATTTTTGGTATGGAAGCCTGAAGATGTTAATCCCCACTCCTCAGTACTTCATCCACAACTGCTCAGACAACTGTCAAACAGCAGTCTCACCAGATGTACAAAATCCAGTTAAGGTTCTGGGTTGCAAATCAGGCTTTTCCTCATCTGACCAGCTTGGTACTTGCTAAGCACGAAGAGAAAGGATGAAGGGTCTGTGTGCACTGGTTTGAGTGTTATGAATCTGTACCAGACAGATGCAACGAAAACAAAAAGACAAAAAAAACAGAACTGTGAATTTTTGTCTCTTGGATTCTCAAGAACAAGTATCTCTTCCCTGGTCACTGACCAAGGCAGCTACACAGATTGTATCAGCAGCACCCACACCCAGATCCATTATCCACACACAGTGAGCTATTTGCTTTCAGGTGCCCACAACGTACTCCAAGTTGTTTGGTTGGTACACTCACTGCATACAGGATATTAAAAAAAAATGTTTGCACTACCTGAAAGCAATGGTGTAACAAAATATTAATTGCTTATTGTTTTTGGAGAGGTAAGGAAAAGATAAACATACTGAATGCACTTGGACACACCCATTTGTCACAGGAGTACAGGAAAGAATGTAAAGGCACAACATACTTCTATACTCCTGTCATTAAGGCCATATATTGGTGTGCAACAATGCTTCACAGGGCTAACCATACAGAAGTACTCAGGTCTAAGTCACACTCCAAGAGGTGTTTCAAACAAGAACTGTTTTCTTATGCAACCTCAGACTCTGCTTTTTTATTATGCATTTTTTGTGTGTGTTTCCTTTTTTTTTCCCCCCTCAGGCAGAATGCAGGCTCTCTGTCCAGTTTCAATGATCTGTTCTTCATCACGTTTTCTTTAATTTAGTTCTCCAGGAGTGTGCGTTGAACTAAAAAGTGAAAAACAACTCAAGATTAGCGTTCTAAGTTAGCATACATTTTAAGTTATGTATTATTATGTAATAGTATATGTGGACAGCAGATTTTTTTCAGTAGGCATTTGAAACTGTGTGATAAATTCAGGTAAGCAGAGGCTTGATTCTGTGTAGATAGTACCCTGCATACCAAGGAATATTACATGCCCGATTTCTCTCTTAAAGAACCACATCCTACTAGATCCATGTAGTTTTTTACACTAGCAGTATAATCCAATATGCAGTTTCAGAATTGCAGTTTTGCAGCTGCAAAAATGGAATGGAGTATAGTCTGCATAGCTGATGGAAAAAAGAAGATTATTGAAAGAAAGTTATCTACATTTTCACAAAGTTAAAGCTTACATAAAATTTAAAAAATGCAAACCTGTTCTGCCATTCAATATGACCTGGCTTAATGCAAGTCTGCTTCTAACTAGAGGCCACATAGGTACATCAACACTGTATTACCAAAAGCAGAGCTAACATCTGCTGACCTCCAGATCTTAGATCAGAGGGGTAGCACCATGCTGACCATGGCTGCCCAGTTTCTTGGCTCAAAACATGCTCATGCTTGCTTGCAAAATGTAACAGAGGTGTGAAATTGGGGATTTAACATGACAACAATATGTAGACAGGAGTAATAATTTATGATAACATCCCAGGATTGACTTTATAAATTAAAATAAAGTACGCATTATCTGATGCAATTCACACCTGAGTTCTGGTGAATCTTGGCCAAAATTTTAGCATACCCTGACTCCAACTCATTCATTAACTGCCTTAGATAGAGGTCTTTAAATGATGCTACTCGCCTCACTAATGCAAAGATGAACTGAGAATACCTGCCTATTGCCAGTCCTGACTTCAACAGCCAGTCACAAGAAAATGTTTTCTCCTTGGGAGTTTTGTATATTTAACAGCTTAAAGGAAAAATATTTATAAAGAGGATGATGATCCAGATAGAAGTTTTTAGCAAGCTGATAAAATGTCTGAAAGAAATGTTATAAAATTGTTTTGTTGAATTAGGAAAAAACCACAACTTCTGCAGGTTTTCGATTAAGCTCATAGCAGAATATACTGCAAATTTATATTGCTTTGAGATTTTAATATTCAATATTTCAAAGACACTCAACAAACTTCAGCATGAAGTTGTACTACTTCTTTCTTTGTTGACCAGTCGCAAGGGCTAGGAGGTCAAGGTTTCACTTATACTGTTTCCCCTAGATCGATCTATGGCTTTCCTGGAAATAATCACCTGGTCCATCAGCCAACTACCCTAAACTACCACACCTGGGGTGAGGTTGTTAGGGGTTTTGTTGCTTTAAAAGAGAACCTTCTGCAGCTGTCACAACTGTAGAAAGATTCGTTATTTGATGGTTCTTTCATTCAAGAATCTTTCTTTGTTCACAGCGGAGAATGTTTTAGTTACAACAAAATGAAAGTGAGTTCAGTCCTCCTTGCCTCCTTTCATCTCCACCCAAACACTGTTAGCATTTTTAATATGCATTCTTGCAGAGCTCTGTATGGGTTTACAATCAAAAAGGGTATCAAACTCCAATCACACACAACATACACTAACAAAAAAACAGTTAGCTAAGTGGAGTTATATATCGCACTAAAGGAGAGGGCTTGTATTTTCTTAATTGTCTTTAATGATAATTTTGTAGAGAAAATTCAATTCTTTACTTTCTCTAAGCTCCTGCATTTCAAGGACTCCTCAAGACAATAAACCAATTTGTTCAAAGAATAAAAAAATAGAGAAGAGTAGCTATATTATGGGAACTGAAAACTTAATTCAGTTCTAAGTTAGTTGTCATAGTAGTTACAAATATTTTTTTGAAACAAAACAAAGAACAGTGCAAGTCATTTTCTCCACTATGTTAGATGTCAGTAAAGTGCACATAATAGGATTCCCACCAAAAAAATTGATCTTCTATCTACATTCTTTTCTTACCAGGTGGCTCAGATTGTGCTCCCCGATGGCTTTCCATATTCACATTCTCTTCATCTGCTGGGAAAAAAAGACATTTAGTATTCAAATTCTCTTATCTTCAAAGTTGTTGATTAATAGTGATCGTTTGAGAGAAGGAGCAGCATTGAAGAAACTGGGCTAGTAATAGTAGTTGTGTTTCCCTTGGGTTGCCTGCATGTTAATTTTAATGTGCATGGTAAATGTTACTCGGCTTCCAAGCTTCTCAAATTACAAAACAGCAGTTCCTGGCTGGACTGCTGCTCTATCATCTCCCTTCATCAGCCAGTCAGAAAGACTAGAAAGGACAAAAACATAGCTTCTGCCTCATCTATCACCCATAGTACTCCCCAAGTTCTCCAATCCAAGTTATATCTTATTTAGGTGGAAAGGATATAGACAGAAAGCAACAGACAACTGCAGAAGAATATTTTGGGGATGAACATACAGGTAGTTGTCAGAAACCCAGTATGTAGGCAAGAATCTTGCGAAGATGCAAAGGCAAGATTTACAAAATTAGAAATGACAAGGTATTTTCCAGCATGAAAGCAGTCTGTAAGCCTCAACCTCCACTCAGTTTTCCTTAAAGAAATGTTTTCTTGTAGTCTCTCCCGCTTACTCTTTAGCAGGAAGTGCTTTTATTTCAAGAAATGAAAAGCCTTAACTCTGCTTCTGCGGAGTAGGGCATTCTTCAGACATCCTTAGATGACTAGTAATAGAGGTTACTCCCTGTGAACACAAATTTACTGTGCTATTAAAACTACCTTATGCATAAGATCAGTTTCTAGCCCCCATATAAATACAAAAGCACATCTCTTTAGACAGTAGAAAACAAAATTAGTTTTAAATTCTTACCGCTTTGTTTGAAACAGAGTTTCTTCTTCTGGTAAGCAATGAAACTAGATACTGCTCCAATTACAGTAGCAACCACAGCACTTACAATTCCAGCTATTGCTCCCTGAGAGCCTGAAAAGAGAGGTTTGTATGCATTTTTTAGAATTGAAAGCAATATCAAACTTGTATTGTCTCTAAGTAAACCTGGTGAACCTTGTTTCCAAAAAAACAATAAACTGAAATTATTACACAAAACTGCAGTATTCAACTCTTTCTGCCTTTGTAAATAATGAAAAGTGAATCCTCTAATTTTGAAACCATTGATTTCTTAATCAATGCCTGTTTTAAGTTTCACTAATTATAAAAGCTACCTACAGTCAAATCTAAGTTGTATGCATGCAATCACTGCACCAGCATCTCTGAGGCCTTAACACTTTTGAATAATTTTCAACATAAAGAATTTAAAGAATTATGAAAGCAGTGCTTGAAAGCAAGAATTCTAGACTCCAGAAAACTGAAACCCACTACCAGCAGTGACCATTCTAGCAGAATATTAGCAATACAGAAAAACTCAGAAAACACGCTTCAGACATGCAGACCATCACACACATAAATGTATGCATTTACCCTCAGCTTCTTCAGGTTTATTTGGACTTGACTCCTTTCGTCCTGTAAGAATAAACAAAAAGTTTAGATTTTACATGTCTAAACAGCAGTCATATCATAAGTGACAACCTTTTTGTCAAATAATCATGCAAAATTACAAGCTATCTACTACATCCATACAGTACTAAGCTCTCTGGCATTTCAAAGCACAGCTTGTGGTGATGCCAATTTCAGCCTTGGGTGCTCAGCACTTCTACAGAATGAGCATCACACACCTGAGAAATCTGGTTTAATCAGTTTGCCCATCACCACAGAATACTCAGTGCAGAGGAAGAGCACAGAATTTCAGGGTAGCATTCAACTGTATTTCCATGTAACCAACTATCTTTTCCTAAAATGCCAGCCTCATTTAATAAGTATTTTTGCAAGTTGCTTAGCAAACAAGGCAGAAGTTCTGTTAATACTATCCTTATTTGGGACTATGCAACTAACAGCACTGAAGCAGGTACCTGTGCAGATGAAAACACCACACAAGTCTCAACAGATGTTTCTTGCCCCTGCCAATTTTCAAGTTACTGCCCCAGAGAAACCTTGGAAGGTGAAGGCTTCCCAAAAAATTGCCATCAGTAATCTCTGTCTGGGACATCTCTGAAGAAGTCAGTAACCAGCAACACATCTCAACACCACATTAAGATACTTAACCTAATCCTGGCCTAAAAAGAGTAAAGTTGCAAAAATGCACACAGAGACAACTAACCCCATCCTAATGATGGTCATTACTGCACCTTGGTCCCAGTTACCACCTCTGTACTGAGTTACACTGTAACGATTAGACATGACAGATTACTCAAACCAAGTTCAGTTTTTATACTGCTCAGAGTAGATGTAACCTACATCACTTGGAAGTCTAAGGATCAATCTATCCTGTGGGACAGATTAAATCTCTGAGAACACAAGTTGGTCCCTCTTCTGATCCACCCATGGGGTTCCTAACACAATAACTAAAAAACTGAGATAAGATCTGAACACAGAAGATCTGACAATAACATCTGGATGCCTTCAAGAGTCATAGAATATGTTGGGTTGAAAGAGACTTTTAAAGGTCATCTAGTTCAACCCCTCCTCTGCAGTGAGCAGGGACATCTTTAACTAGATCAGGTTGCTCAAAGCCCCATCAAGCCTGACCTTGAAGGTCTCCAGACATGGGGCCTCTACCACCTCACTGGGCAACCTGTTCTAGTGTTTCACCACCCTCATAGTAAAGAACTTCTTCCTAATGTCTAATCTAAATCTACCCTGCTCTAGTTTAGCACCATTGCACCTTGTCCTACTATATTCATGGTGATTTTTAAAATAAATACCACATTCACATCTCAGTTTTAAACCCCATATTTCTTAGCATAACAGTAAAAAATATTGAAGGTTCCCAGGCCAGTTTTACCTCTTAATTGTCTGTGTTTTTTTGGCAGCAACAGAACACATTGCTTTTGAACTGGAAAGTATGATCTTAAGTTTCAGATACCAGAAACAAAGGTGTTACAGGTTAAACCACGTTAACTAGCTTGTGAGCAAGCTTTTCTCAAAAGCTCAGGTAGCCATAGGATCAATGTGAAGGACAACCTACTATCTTACCATTGGTGCCACTGCCATCACCTCCTCCTCTTGGTAAATGGCCATCAGCTAGGTCTGAATCATCAAAGCCACCTATAAAAAAAACCAAAAATAATATTATCTTACATGTTTTAAGTTCAGTTACAAGACAATTCAAGGCACATCATGGCATGGAAGTTTTCTCCAGATCATTCAGCTGAGTTAGTGGTGGTTTTAAGCTCAGCATCATAGTCACGAGATGTTCACATTTCAAAAGGCCGCCCAGTGTCAAGTCTCTTCAGCTCAGCACTGTACAGTTTGATAGTAGCACTGCTGCCTCTGGATTTCCTGAACAACTGAGAGAAGACACTGTAAAAGAGCAGGTAGTATTGCACAAGTCATAGGCTATGCAAGCAAGAAGCCCTGTAAGCTACTTAGCTGGAACAGCCCAAGTCTTACTATCTTGTTAAAGCAGAGAACAGACATGGACAAGGAAGGACCATTTCTTATGAAGTCTGCAGCTCTGAATGTTTCTTCAAAGTTGGGTTTCGAAGTCACAACCAAACTTTTGAACCTGTACAAGACAGTAGCTAGAGCATAGAAGAGTTCAACATGCCACAGTCCAGTGGCTGCAGTATTTGCCTGATAATGAGAAGATCCAAATGTAACTCCCTCCTCTGATTTATTGAGGGACACTGAACCAGTCCGTCTCTATTTCCACTCAGCCCTACCTCATGGGGCCTGAGTTCTCCTCCTTTCCTCTGCTGCCAAATGAGTTTATGCAAAGCAAATCTGTTTCAAGCAGCAAAGCTAAAAATCACTGCATCCGAGGATGTTTTAGTAGGGTGGCACAAGTACCATACTGAGGCACACAAGACCAGAATTAAAATATCTGCTGCAAATCAGGCAGAAGGAACAAGAACCAGGGATTGCATTCCAGATAAGGACTCTTTACTACCATATTCCTGGATAATGGTACCATTGAAGCAGCATCCATCTGAATCTGTTTTGATTTGAGTTGAGCCAAGACAGAGAAGACCTTTGAAGCACAACAGGCTGGGAAGGACAATTATTTTAAGCCTACCTTTCAAACACAAAATAATTGTAATTCTTAACTGGGGCTTTAAAAAGAAAAAAAAACACAACAAACTAAAAAAAAAATAACCCTTTAACTTTGAGCTATACCTTTAATTTAGATGCTTTAAGAACACAGATCACAAGTAGTTCTTACTTTTTAGGATGGCTAGCAGGGGATTCAGTTTGTAAAGATGAAAGGACTCAATCCAATAGACAGGTGCTTCACCATAGGCAGCCAAGAAGAGCATTGCCCCAAGAACACACACTCTGTCCCATCCTTCCTTCTCCCCACACCATCCTGCTTTTAAGTGAAAATGACTCAACAGGTTTGTTATGGAACTTCAAGAGTGCTACAAAGCTTATTAGTAAGAAAATTTTTCCTCAGTTCTCAGTGTTTATCCAGTGCAACATCTAATGTACATAGCAATCAATCAACAAGGAATAATTATTATAAGTTTAACTGAGATAGTAAAACCATGTCAAAATTCAGGAGTTTCTGCTAGAAGCCTTACCAGTGTCTTTAGGATGTGTAGGTGGACCTTGCTTCGGTTTATCTACACACAAAGGAGAGATTTAGGGAAGGGAAAAAAAACAACAAACAACAAACAAAAAAGGAAAAGGTTATGAGATCAAAAGCAGACCACAATACAGTAACTTTGAAAGGGACTAGGGAAAATTAGTAAATGCTTTTATACTGTTCAGAAATTCCTGTTAAGTCAGTCTTACCTGTGCCTCTAGGATTTGCAGATGGAGTTGGCTTGAGGTCATCTGCAAACAAATAGAGTTAGAATAAAGTGACCAAAGTTACTAGTATGAAGAGACCAAAAGCAGAGCATATAGTGACCTTGAAAGACTATCTTCCTCATGTCATCTTCCTTTCATTAGCTAATGCTATATTTGTTTGGTTATTCTAGGTTAAACGCTGTACTTCAGTGCAATTAACAGTGTGTCTGCTACATTAGCCTTGTATGTCAGACCCTTTGCTATAACTGAACGCATACAGAACTCACTAAGGGTTATGCAGCACATCGGATTTCAAACACTGAGCTTCTTTAAATTTTTCTACCAGATAGATATTTGGCTGCTTCCTCTTTTAAAACTACCGGATTTTAGCCAATAATAAAGGCTGGTACCTCACTTTATTGTTCTATTGTGTGTATTTTTATTTTTTTTTTTAAATATGGTCCCCACAGTGACACTTAGTTTAGTTTGCCACAAAATAGGAGACTAAGGCAGCATAATAGTTATCTCTGTACCATTTGGTCACAGTCTTTGTTGCCCACATTGAATTAACACACCAGCAGTGGTTTTCTAAAACTGTGTTTTCACAAGGGCTGAAGAAATTCCACAGTCCATTTCTCCTGTATGTTGCTTCTCCTTGATGTTGCATGGTCTTGCCTCCTCCCAGCTCTAGCACAAGTCAGATCAGGTTTCCTTAGTCTCTTGGTATCTTCAAAGGCAGTCACCTCCAGAGCACAGTCCTAAGACCCTAACTTAGGCTTGCCATCCTATAAAGGATCCCATCTCTTCACTTGCCTGAACAATCCAATTCATTCAGCCAACTGTTTCTCAGTTAACCAACTCTGTTTCTCAAAACAGACTGCTTCTCTCAAAGGGCTAAATCAAACAGAGCAGCAAACAGTGTTACTGTCCTACGACTGTATGCCTTGTGTTAGGAAAGCTGGATATACTGGACCAGGTCTCGTGATGGTACTCAAAAAGCTACTGTGCGTTATCTGCCTAACTGGATGTATGTTTTACTGGCCGAGTGAAAATAATGCTGTAATTTCTCCTGCTGCCCACACTGCAGAGCTGAAGCACATTAGAAAGAGTTCCTTCCCTCATATTATTTCAAACAGATTAATGTTTCTTTGTGCTACTAAAATTACTTCCTAGAAAGGATGAGATTACTTCAGATTTAAAAACTACTTCCATAAGTAATAGTTTATGGAATTAGTGCCATCTAGTGAAGACACAGCAATGAAATAAGTAGGACTTGGCTAAGAAATGAGTGAAATACATATGTTTTTTTTGATCCAGACACTTAAAAATGAACGTAAATAAACATAACTAGACTGTAATTATTTTTATCTTCAATTTGTTACCTTAATCAACTCAGAGCCCTTATTACATTTAAGTAGTACAGGATGGATAGACATTGCAGCAAGTACCACTGAGCAGTATCCAGGAAAATATGATACTTAACAGGCTGAAGAGCAAGTTCCAAATCAAAATCATTTGCAAACAGAGAATGTAATCCCTGAGTGTTCCCAAAGACAAATTTCAGTTCTATGCAGTCAATATTTTGACATACCCACAGCTCAATTATTCCACTGAGGTTTAAACAAACCATATGTGGGGAAGGTGTCATGCTTGGTCATGCAGGGATACTCAGAAACAAAAAAGTCAAAAAAGCAACCACTATTTTCCTGCCTACCTCCCAATATTTGCAAGAGTAATAATTACCAAATGCATCTTCTAAGCTGAAGTCGTCAAAATTCCCTGTAAAAGATGAAAGCAACAGTAAGAACATTATTTTTTTTCATACTCAAAACCAACACTTATCACAGTCATAAATATGTATTTGATCCATGTTGAAGTATATTTTCTGCTTCCTATGTCAGATTAGAATATGCTGAGTTAAGGATGAAGACAAACATTCTTCTCTGTTTCTCCAGACCACCATACACACATCTCTTCAGAAAAGAAATAGACCACTAAAAACTTTCTCTATAGAAAGGATCCAAGGGGCCAGAACATACATTTCTGCAGTCAATATAATGCACCTAATCCTTTCTTCTTGCCACCACTGTTGTATCCTTCCTTAGTGCAATCCACAGCATATTCTTTCCCAGCCTTCTTTCCACTGAACCACAAAATGAACAGCGGCACCGCTCCAATTCACAAGAATTTGCAAGATTCAAATGTGAAGAAGAACCTTGAAGCACAAAGACCAGTATGAAAGTTACACAAATGGGTAATGGATTTAATAACTTGATATTAAAAATTAATCTTCATGGGTTTAGAAGACTTATCTTTCCCCCTAACAAAGGTTAACAGTATGAGGGTGGTTAAGTTATTGGTACAGATGATTTCCAGCAGTTTCTTCAACTTCCTAAAAGACAGTTAAATGTAGCTGTCACCATTATGGGCTCTCTACTCCAGGCAGATTAAGTTTTATTGTCAGCCCTTAGGAGAAGAACATTCTTTCTTGTTGTTTTAGGTCAGTTGCTAGAGCTACTGCTGCTTACCCAGCCGACTGCAAACACACTAACTCAATATATTCATGATAAAAACTGGTTTCACAGTGTGAATATAGCAGTGTGATCTCAGCGGCAGAGGCTTGTAAGATAAATGGACAGCTAAAACAACTGCTTGGGATATTTCTGATAGTTCATCATGCCTACTTTCACTGAAGCACAGAAAAAGGCATGAAAGTAGATACTAGCTATTCAAGAAAAAGACTTCCAAATATACTGCTCCGGCCCCAAAAAATCTGGAAGACTTTTTCTACCTAATGATCATCAAGCCATCCAGAGCAGAAATTAATTCCAGCCAGAGTTACCTTAATTCAGAAGATACACACATAAAGCATTAATGTGTCTGGCTTTTCATCTAAGAATGTAGCTACAGGAGAGGAATCAGAACTGGATACTACAAAGTCTGAAGAAAGAAATAAAAAAAAAAACAAACATCAAAAATCAAATCACAGGCAGAATGTTCCTTCTGCTTACATGACAGGCCAAGTTAAGACAAGGACAGTCATGAGTCTAGTACCAGGAATGACAGGTATTCATATACTTGGTGACATCTTTGATCTCAACTGAGGTCAAAATTTAGATCTCTTTTCCTTCTCATTTAACTGCACTAATAATGCTTTTTTCTTTTTCCCCCAGTGAAGAAATGAGACTCAGATACATTTTTATTTTTTAATATGGAAGCAAGGAATAACAACTAGAATAAAAAAATTAAAGGCAAGCTTGCAGTTTCCTGAAAACATCCTTCAAGCTAGTCTTCAGTCTGCCCAACTGAACAGTTACAGCAGCAACTGAAATCTGAAGCCTAAGCAGCCACTCCCATACCATAGTAACATATCAACTGAGTACCACCTTGCTCACAGCCAAGTAGGGAGGTTGCACAGCCTGAGCAGTGACAAACTCCTTCATGGAAACAGGCAATTCATGGCTCTATTACGAGCAAAGTGAATGTAGAACCTCCTGGATAAAGTCATTAGGTATAGGTCTTGGACAGAAAGCAAGAAGATAGTTTACTTGGTGTTCTTCACTCCAGGTGGAGACTATAAACTCTCTTAGATACTTAGCTCATGAAAAACTGTTTCACAAAATGCAAAATATTTGCAGGTTGTTTATCTGAAGTCTACATCATCTTGCAATATAATCTTAAAAACCTCAGCAAAATGAGCAGTTGCTATAACCCAAATCTCATTTACCTCTGAAGTTACCCCTTATGTTTAGATTACACCAATAAACCTTCATATTGACAAGTAAACAAGGTCAAAACACCCAAGAGAAATTTAAACAGGTATTTGCATAGTTGTTCTTCAAACTTGAATTCTGGCTAGTTTGTTTTGTCGAGTAAATACATCTCCCAGGCTACAGTCCTCCAAGGAGGAATGTCTGAGAGAGGACCTGCGTAGGTATTTGCTAGTCTAATTCTAAGAAGGCAGGCAGAAGGATCTGTTGAAGGTGCATGCTACTCAAAATACTACCAGCGTAGCAACTAGAGGATGGACCACCACCATCTGTCTCTAGGCTAAAGATATATCTCACTAACTCAATGAATGTTACATTGGTGGGTGTATTTCAAGAGCAGCATTTCTTTTTAGGAGGACCGGCAGATGGAAAAACAAGCACGTAGACTCAACAATATGCTCTGGGGCAGCTGAAGTTTTACTGGGGCAGAAAAGAGGCTATTTGAAGAGTCTCCCACTTCCACCATGAAACTTAGTCCGAGAACTCTGAATGGTTCCAGTTGCAGTGGTTTGCTTCACGAAGAGGAAACCAGCGTAAAAGAGTGTGCATTCAGTGACATTGCTATTTTAAGGGATTGTTTTCACACGTGAGTTTCATGGAGAAATAATTTAGGATGAGACTGCTGACTCCAAATCTCACATAAGACATGCTTTGAAAGAGCAATAAACAAATCTGAGAGTTAATAAAAGAAAAAAAAACATTCCACATTAACTGGAATTATTCAATATCGTGCTACCACAATTCTGTTTTCCAGGCATGCAGTAAGATGTCAGGTTCTTCGAGTACACTACCTTATCTCAATAATAGTAGCAGAAAATGTCTAAACCTAGCTTATGAAACTCATTACAATAATCTGCACTCCGAAGTGCTGGCAGTCTCCTTTCCCATCAAAGACTGGTTGTTTCTCCACTGTTCATGACAAACCTTCATAGGTCTTTAAAGTGCTTGCTTTTACAACTGTACTCCCTCAGCTTTTAGTATGGGTGGGTCCATACTACTCAAGTAGAAGATCAATTACTTAGTCTGAAAGAAGAGGCTCAGATCCAGGGATTCGGCTCATTCCAGGGAAGAAACAATCAGACAACAGAGCTAAAGCTACAGAACTAGAACAAAGATGGTAGCGGGATCCAAG